CTCTCGCGGTTTGTGTGAGGAAACGCGGGAAAGAATTACGTCTCGACGTCTTTTCATTTGGAGAGGAGAGCAGAGCAGGAGGGTGGTAGAACTGGAAGAGAGCTGCCCGTTATAACCCCCCCCCCCTCCCTCCTCACTCTCTCCAGCAGTTGGGTACGCTTTTATTTTTGATCTGTGCATTCCTCAACTAACTGTGAACGAATATTTATTGAAGTTTTACTCGGCATCGCTGTAATTTGATCACAAATGCGCAGTGTACTCTGGAAGCTCAGGCGTGAGACAGTTTCATACCAAATGGTGTGAGGCAGGCACAGAGGGTCTCACACCATTCGGTGTGAGGCAGAGAGTGTCTTATACCATTTGGTGTGAGGTATGTTTGCCTCACACCTGAGTTTCCAGAGTACCCACCCATCATCCGGGAGTGGATTCCCACGTTTTCGTTTCGCACCCCAGGCGGACCATTCTCCCCCTGCTTTTTTGTGCGAGAGTTACAGCGGAGATCTTCACGTGTCAACTCAGTGTCCAGGTCCGTTTTTTTACGGCTAGACTTGACCCTGTCCTTGCGCAGCGAGCTGCTTCTCCGTCCGCCACTGGGCGGAGTGGACTTGGGTGGGGCAGGGCAGGGCCAAGCAGGGGGCGCCCGCATGTTCCTGAAGAATTAGTGGTAAGGAGCTTATGGTGCAACCTTTGCTCTGCCCTTGCCCTCCCCTGGCCTATGGCCGCACTCTCTCTCCCCTCCACTTTACCTCTTTACTTCCCTCCCCTTCACAGTATGAAGTTGTTGCTCGCCTGGCCGGCCGGGCTGTTCGCCGTTGCGCTACTGCTGTTGCTGAAGGTTAAAAAGGTAGACTCTCACGTCGCCCTCTCTTACCTCGGGGGTGCACTGTGTAAATAAAAAATGATTGCAGCCGGTTTTGCGGGAAAATTTTCCCTTTATCTATGCCGTAAGATTACACTGTAAAATTGTGAAATTACAAGCACTACGTATCGACTTAAAATGTATTGACGAGCAAGAATGGGCTGTCTTAAATTTACAAAGAGGGTTGTGGAGGGGGCGCAACTGTGTATTTCTGTGTACACTCCGCGTGCATCTTGTATTTTCCTTGTATTTTTCTGGAATTTTTGGCGTGTGTTTCGATGTATTTCTGTGTATTTATCAGTATTGCGGAGTATTTTTTGTTTTTGTTTTATGTATTTCCGTGTACATGATGTTTTTGAGTTGCCTCCGAGGGGTCCCCCACTCGCCAACTCGTTGTACACGATGACTCGATACTCGCAAGATACTCGCGACAACTCGCGCTAACTCGCGAAAAAATCGCGAAAACTCGCGAAAAAATTGACAAATACTCGCCTAATACTCGCGGATACTCGCCATTACTCGCATAAACTCGCGGATACTCGCTAATACTCTCGAACACTCGCGGATACCCATGCAACTCGTTGTACACCCACTTGGAGAGTGGAGGACCCCTCGGTTGCCTCCCACCCCCGTCGTAAATTCAGAACATATTTTGTAAATCGCAAATTACTAAATACGTTGTAAATCTCCGAAGATGTTTTTGATCGTTTTCGACAGTGTGTTTCTCGGCGTTACTACTCGGCCTGCTGCCCCCGGCGATTCCCTTGGTCTCCCTCCGACTCATTCCGGCCGGGGCCCGCGGGGCTGAACTGAGCGCCGATTAACATTTCATGCATTTTCTGTCGGCCATCATCATCGCTGTGGCGAGCGCTCGGGTCCATTAGCCTGGCGGGTCTAGCCGCGAGGAGTCTAGTCTCTAGTCTATAGTCTAGTCAGTCGAGCGAAAGTCTATAACAGCGAAGGTGAGAGGTGTCCGCGCCGCGCCCTTGACCTTGCGCGCGGGCCGGAGGCGCCGCGGGGGCCGGCCGGGCCAGGCTCCCTTGACTCTTGTTATCTGGAAAGGTGATGGCTCGCCCGCTACGCAGTGGCCGCACCGCCCCGCGGAGCCCCGCCCAGCCTAGCCCAGCCCCGCCCCG